TTCCCCATAAAAAAAACTTTTCAAAAAAAAAAAAAAAAAAAAAAAAAAAAGAAAAGAAAAGAGGAAGAACAAGATTTGGCAGTACTTTGAACATTGATTTATTCAGAATACCACTTTTGGGGACCAGTGTGTGGTATGGTAGTTAAGGTGTTAGACTCTCACATGGCCAACCATGGTTCAAGTCCTGGACTCAATGGATTGAAAATCACCCAAAATCTCAAGAGAAGAATAGAGAAGAGATTGTTGTGGTCATTCTCTCTGGGGAGTAATTTCTCACTTTCCTTCTTATCTGTCTCTCCAGTGAGTGCATATGCCCTAGGGCAAAAACCTGAAGAAGAAAAAAAAAAAAGAAAAAAAGAATATTATTTTTCAACATCCTAAAGGAGAGAAACATATTCCCATATTAGTTATCGTTTAAACAAGTTTTTTCAGAGATTACTATCTATGATTAAAAACTTTTTTAATAAAAATTTTCTCCTTTCCATTTTCCTCTGATTCAGGAGTTCTAACTCATAGTGCATGCACACACACATGCGTGAGTCAATGTTTTGCTATAATAAAACAATCAATATACCTAAGAAGAAAGGCCCTAATTAATAAAAATTATATATACTAGAATTAACATCTTCATGTTAAATAAAATCAACTTTTTTCATAAAATTCACTTAATAGAAAGAATTTGGACTATAATAAAACTAGTAAACTTTAATATACCTGGCTTTTATGGGGAAGTTCTGTGAAATGTCTTTCATTAATTTAATAGCATCATAAACTGGAGTGGACATTATTTGAGAAGCTGCTTGAAAACTCAGATCTGAAATGAAAAAAAATATCATTAAGGAATATAGCATAATGTTAAAACTATAGAATTTTCAGGTAACTTAAATAATTTACTTAATCTTTCTTCCCATATACTCAGATACAAGCATGTTAATACTCATATTTGGCATTTTTAAAATATTTTAAAGCAAAAGTTATCTCTTATGTCCCTTTAAGGTGAGCTTTACACTTCTGTGAATAGTTACCACTTAATATCTATTATTTGTTCTCCACAAATTACAGTATGATTTCAAGAGAGACATATGAAAGGAAATGCTGATACAAAACTAGTTCTTCTATATTTTAGTTAAATGATACATGCAACAAAAAACTTGGATAAATATAACGAGGGAGAAACAAAAAATGCTTTAAAGAACTAATTCTGAAAAAAATTTTAAGACCCAATATATTTCACTCAGTAAACAGAAATATTCACTTTCAACATTGCTTTACCTTTACATCAGTATAAAAATAAAATCTTAACCTTAGCATTATTTCACCAACAATGACAGCTCTATGGAGAGAAAAATCAGTGTGGCTAATTGCAGTCTCAAATACATCAGAAGCAGTAATGATATTAGTCTCATTACTTTGTCAAGAGTAAGGGAAGATTTAAAACAGAATACTTTCATTACCTAATAGTGAAACAAACTGGTTGTTTAACATTTCATTAGCAGTGGGATACTACAATACTTAGCAAATGTAATATTAGTAAAATAACTATTAACATAACAAGGCTAGTTTTGTTTCTGTGTCCTTAGTATGAAATGGTCTATCACCTGGAGTCAAAGCTTACAAAATGATGCTTTTTGGGTAGCCATCCATGGATGATAAAGTCCAACAAATCAGTACAAATCGTGGCTCTATAACATCCTCTGAGATTTAGTTATCTATTTTTTTTTAATTGTCACAGGGTGCACTCTCCAGAGAGATAAAAGGAGAAAGTGATCCCTAATGAGGTGTGTTCATGCTACAATCCGTTCTCTTTCATCTCTCCATCCCGTTAGGATTTGAGGCATCCATGCACACATGCCCAGTGTTTTTCAAGCTGCTGGGACCAGGATCTGAATCATGGATGATCATATGGAATATGGGTCCCTTAACGAGTAGGTCACAGGGTCAGCTCTACCTGAGTAACTTAAAAATAGAATTCCTTAACTCAACTCGACATGTTTCCGGCCCCCCGTATTATACTGAAACTACTGTCAATGCTCAATAATGTTTCCCAAATGCAAGCACAAGGACATTTTTAAGTACTTATTTTACCAGGACTACAATAGTATCACTTTCTGCAAAGAAAATGTACCGATTCTTTCCTCTTTCTTGAAAACTAACTTCCCTCAACTTTTATAATGTACTATCCTTTCTGCATGTGAATGAGCACTTGGGCACCCTTCCTGGTACACTGATTTCGTCATTCTACAAACTCAATCAGCACCTTCCTCTTTTTCGGGGATGTAAATTAGTACTGCCACTGTGGAGAACAACATGGAGGTTCCACAAAAACCTACAAATAGAACTTCCACTCAGTAGTATCACTTCTGGGTATTTACCCAAAAGGTACGAAAACAGTCATACGATACTTGCACATCCATGTTTATTGCAGCATTATTCACAATTGTTAAGACATGGAATCAACCTAAATCCCCAAGAATAGATGACTGGATTGAAAGAAATGGGGCATATATACACTGTAGAATACTACTCAGCCATAAAAAATAAATAAATAAAATCTTGTCATCTGATACAGAGTGGAGGAATATACAAGATTTAATGCCAAGTGAAACAAGTCACACTGTGAAAGACAGACTTTGTATGTCCCCGTTCAATGGATACTGAATATCTGCACCTTATAAAAAGAAAATGAAAGACTGGAAGATATAGCAGAAGATAGCAAGTGTAGATATTAGAAACTGTATAGGAGGGGGTAGGCTATTAGGGGTGGGGAAAAGGGGCTCAGGAAAGTAAAAACATTTAACATTAACATTTAACACAAGAATAGAAAGCTACTGAGTACAGTAATACTTTCGAATTGCTTGATATGCAATGCATTTATGCTCCGAAAACCCATATCGTCTGCTGTAAAGATCTACAATGATTAAATGCAAAAACAAAAATAAAACCAAATTTAAAAAATTAACTAAATTTATTCAAAACACTAATAAAGACTAAAATTTGTTTTTTAATAATAAATCAAATCAAATCAAATAATTCTTAAAAAAGAAATTTTTAAAGGAGTTACATTCCTAATAGGATTATGTGAAGTTTCTAGTTTCTCCACATCTTTTTTAAACACTTACGATTTTTTTTATCTTTTTGATTCTAGCTATGCTAGGCGTATGAAACATATCTCCTTATGGTTTTGTTTTACATTCCCCTGACTACTAATGATATTGAACATCTTTCATTGGCCATTTATGTGTCTGCTTTGGAAAATTACCTTCATCTTTTAAAGGTATTTTTGCTGGGTATACATTCCTGGGTTGACAAGGTTTTCTTTCAGTACATTGGAGATATTCAGTCTTATCACTCACATTGCTCCCAACAAGAAATCTGCTACTATCTTTGTCATTGTTCCCATGTGTATCATGTGTCATTTTTTTCTGGTTGCTTTTATGATATTTTAATAATTTTTTTGGCAAATTGACCATTGTTTTAGTCTGTTGGAGCACTTTGGGAGGTAAATATCAGAGAGAGGATAATTTATAAAAGATATAGCTCTATTTAGTTCATATTTCTGGAGACTAGGAAGTTCAATACTAAGCTGCTACTCTCTGGTAAGGGTCCAGGGCAGAAGGTGTCATGTGACAATAGGACAAGCAGTGTGTGGGCTTCAGAGAGCAAGAGATAGCTGATTTTCCTTTTTCATTTTGTTATATGTCGTGAGCTCTCACCTGAGAGAGAGACAGAGAGAAGGAAAGTGAGAAATCACCCTCCAGGGAGGATGGCCATGTCACAATCCCTTCTCCTCCACTCTCCTCTTGGAATTCTGGGCATGCGCTCACATGCACAGGTATGATTTTCAAGCCATTGGGTCTGGGCGTGACACTAAAAAGTCAGCCATGTTGGATCCAGCTTCTTTAACCTCCATGGCACCTGCTGGCTCTAAGAAGGCTGATTTTATAGAAACCAACTCTCACAATAACTCATCAATATGTGAGTTAATGAACCCATTTATGAGAATAGAGTCTTTATGATCTAATAACCATCTCTTCATCAGTCCCACCTCTTTTTTGTTTGTTTTGTTTTGTATTTGCTATGGGGAACATGTGCTCACCAGAGAAAGAGAGAGAAAGAGAGAAAGAGAGGGAGAAAGTGAGAAATCCCCCCAGAGATCCTCTAGGGATTCTTGGGCACACACTCACATGCATCTGGCTTGTTTTTCAAGCTGCTGGGTTGAGCATGAGACTGGAACCACGCAGTTGGCCATGTGGGATCCAGCCATGTTCACCACCACACCATGGGCCGGCCTACTCCCATCTCTTAATACTGTTACAATGGCAGTCACATTTCAATAGAAGTGTTGATGGGACAGTTAAACCATAGCATTTCACCCCCAGCCTCCCAAAACCAAGGTTCTTCTCACACACAAAATGCATTTGTTCTATCCTGGTAACCCCACAGAGGCTAAGTGAGCTGTGATTTGGGGACATCACCCAAGCCAGAAAATAGAAAATCTCCATGTATTTGATTCTGCAACTCTAATTCTGGAAATCTATTATGGAAAAATAACTAAATTAAGGCAAACATTCATATCTATAAGTGCTTATTTTAAAATCCCTATTTTAACAAAAAAGGGAAAAAACTTAATTGACTCTACATAGGGTATTGGTATAAGAAACATGGGTATAGAAGAATATGGGGAGGCACACATAATTACTCGTGATATGGGGTAGAATTAAGAAATATAAAAAATTTACCCTACCTAGAATTAATATCTAAAAATTAATCATCTAAAATTTGGAGAAAATCCATCAAAATATTAGCTGCCAGGGTTTTTGAGTGAAGTAATAAAAATTACAATAAATTTTATACTTAATCATACATGTGTTTTCTGCCAGAGGGCATTCATGTGTACACGTGTGCACACATGCACCTGCAGAAGAGAGAGAGTATGCCCTCTGACGGGGGCTAGTCGTGACGCAATCTCCTTCCCTCCACCCCTCTGCCCTGGTAGCGTCCACACCTGTGTGTGCTCGACATATTTTTCATGCCCTGGGGCCAGGACGCAAACCTTAGGCAGCCACTTGGGTCCAGTGCTCACGCATGTACGCGTTTGAAAAGGGGTGTGGATATCCGTACCGCTGCCCATCTCAGCAACACTTACTCCTCTTAGGAATGACAGTTGGTGTCTGGCCTGCCAGTTTCCTCGATAGAGCGTGGCCTGTTCCAGATGTATATCTGCCTTTTATGCTTTTTATTTTCTTTCTTTTTTTTGGAGAGGTTTTTGCTATAGGGCGCGTGCGCTCGCCAGCCAGACAGAGAGAGACAGACAGACAGAAAGCGAGAAATCACCCCCCAGGGGGGATGGCCATGCCACAATCTCTTCTCCTCCATTCTCCTCTTGGGACCTTGGGCACGCACGCACACGTGCCCAGTGCGAGTTTAAGCCACCCGGTCCGGGACTCGAACGGCGGTTGACCACGTGGGAGTCCAGCGACATAGCCATTACGCTAACTGCTGGTCCCCCTTTTATGCTTTTTAAAACACTGTGTCAATGGAACCAGCAGTTAGCGTAATGGCTATATCGCTGGACTCCCACGTAGTCGACCGCGGTTCTTGTCCCAGACCCGGTGGCTTAAAACTCACGCCGGGCGCGTGTGCGTGCGTGCCCAAGATCCCGAGAGGAGAATGGAGGAGAAGGGATTGTGGCGTGACCATCCCCCCTGGGGGGTGATTTCTCGCTTTCTGTCTCTATGTCTCTCTCTGTCTGTCTGGCGAGCGCACGCGCCCTACAGTGAAAATCTCTCAAAAAAAAAAAAAAAAAAGACACTGTGTCAAAGCAAAAGAAGTGACCTCTAACTATGGACACTAAGGCTCTGTACTTAAAGGAATGCCTGACTCGGTACTTAGGAGCCCGATTAAGAACATGCAAACACCGTCTTTCTGCCAGCAACTCCACCAGGCCATGTGACACCGTCACTGGGAGGCCACTGGGCATATCAGTCTACATGCCATCGTGGTTGCATTTTATACAACTGCAAATGAACAAGTTTAGAACTAATCTACTTTTATGGAGCAGCAAAAGCAAACTTTCATCAGGCTTGAGCTATTTTTGGTTGCAGATATTAGAAATACGCTACATTTTGTCAGATTCTTCTGAAGCATTGTGCAAAATCACCCATCTTCCTAAGTAGGTCTCAGTGCTGGCAACCGCGCAGGTGAGATGTCACATTCCACCGTGATGGAGCAAGTGGGCGTGGGGCTTGGAGCCCTCGTCTCCACCCTTCAGAGCATGTCCTAGGCTGAAGAAGCCCCCAGCGCGAGTCTCCGTTTGACAGTCTCCTCCGAGGCTCACATTGCCACAGCCGTCAAGTCTGAACAAATTAAATTTCCCTCATTTTCCACCAGTTACAAGCAGCCTTGGAATACCCTTGGCTTCCTCATTTTCCTTTTCCTTCAATTTCTCGGCATCAGTCTCGCCTGCTTTTTCATTCCCTGCTCACAGGAAGGCGTTCCCACCCGCGTTGGTGGGGTGGAGTGGAGGTGGAAGGGCTCTGAGTTCGGGCGTCTGTGCTGAATCCCTTACCACAGGCCATGCTTGCCCTTGTGGTGGAGAGGCAGCATAATTATTCCCTTTCCTTCCAGAAATATCCTCGGGCCTCTGCCTCCTGCCCTCTTCTCCGGTGTGCTCATTCATTGTGTATGCTTCTCAGAAATGCACACAGAGGCACACTCAGGTTGGAGGAGCACCTCCCTGCAAATAAAACTTGTAAAAGGCTCCTTCGAACTCCCACAGTTCAATCCTCTCTCATCACCCAAGCCCACGTCTTCTCCCTTTTTATCTTAAGGTCCTCACAATTGCTGACGGCATCTGTTAGGTTCATTTTGCAGGATTGCTGTGAGGCTCAGACAACAGAATAGACACAGCCCTGCCTTTTCTTTTTCTTTTTTTTTTTTTTTT